GCCTCTGACACCAAAAATTTTATGTCCCTGCTAGAACATCTCCAGATGGGGTCTGTAAAGACCCACTGCCTCCTTCATGAGGCACCGAAGTCTGATGAGGAAGAGGATGGAGAACTCCCTAGAGAGAGGGAAGAAGAGACTCAGAACCCCACCACCACCCCTAGATTCTGATTGCACCTGCTCCCTTCTGAGGTCTTTTGGGGCTGAGGAATAGGAGGGAAATGGAGGCTTCTCCACCTAAACACTCTGACTCTTCAAAGGATGCACAGACATCAACCCTCCTGCTACCCACACACGCTCCACCAGCCCCAGGGCCGTGGGTCCTGCACTGGACCCCGTTACTGCAGACAGAAATCAGCCTGTATAAGATCATATGTCTGATTTTGATAATGCATTTGGATATATCAGAGCAGTTTGGATGAGAGATATCTACTAATAGAATCCGAAATGTGGAACATGGCACTACACTGAAATTATAAGTAAACACTTTAAATGCTTAATGATGATGCTGAGTGTAAAAGATCCTGACTTTTCCTTCCATACTTTCCCCACTGTCCACCAGAGGGCAGCAGAGTCCCCTGAACCTGGAACCTCCCTCAACAATGGTCGCAGCCCAGTGGTATCTGACACTCACCAGGCTCACCTCATCCCATATGTCCCTCACTCTCAAAGCTCCCCACCTGGACTTCATCAGTTCCTCCCTCCAGTCAGGCAACCACCCCCTGAAGCCAGTCCCTCTGCAGGTGGCTCCTGCCCTCCACACCTCCTTCTTCTCAGGGAGTGGGTGTGGAAGGTAGGGGGGAGTGGGAATGTGGTGGTCTTCAGCTAAAAGGGCACTTTCTCAGGGGAGCTCTCTGGGATCCAGAGATCCAGCTACCCCTGCTGTCCATTCTTAGCCCTTTGCTGTTATAATCACTCCTTAGTTCCATGCTGTTCACTGAGTGCCTGTCTCCCTGTTACAGGGAAACTCCATGAGCACAGATTCCTGTCTCTGTGGAATTCCCAGGCCTTAAATGAATAGGAAGCTATACAACAGAAGCACATCACCTCTGTGTGATACTGGAGGTCAGGGACTCTTGTATGAACACAGGAGCACCAGCATCAGCGTGGGAGGAGGCAGCAAGAGCCCACGGCTGCCCCAGGGACAGGGCCTTTACTCTTGCTGTGTCAGGAGGAAGAACAGGGACTTCCTAACAGTGAAGAGTCAGAGCCCAATTTATCCCAGAACATTATGATCAGCTCCCCATCTCTACCTTCTGAGTGATATCATGTCTTCCAGGAAGACCTGGGCTGGAAGCCTGGGACCTTCCTCTTCTCACAAAGATGCCTGACCTGGCAGACTTTGGATCCTCCATCCCAGGTGGAGGGATCATGGGTGAGAATGGAGCCCCACCCTGACACAAAGGAAGTCAGGTAACAACAGCTCAATCCAGAAGAGCTCTGATGACTGCAGACACCTGGCCAAGGTCCTCTGTAGACATGTCACCTACCCAAGGAGTCCAGGGGAAATTCCTGTGCAGGGCAAACAGGGTTACCCAGGACCTGCCTTTGCTTCCATCTCAGAGGGACTGAGAGCCCACGGGGCCTCCTGTCCTATAACAGAGGAGCCAGGGGTCCCCTGGCTGAGTCCTCAAGGAGGGGCTGCCCCAGTTCCTGGGCCCTGTGGCAGGGCATGGAGCAGAAGACAGAAAGGGACACATGAATTGGAGGCAGCACTCCCAGGGGAACCCGAGGCACTCTTGGGGTCCGCCTCCCAGGCCGGCGCCCTCTCTCTAAAGCCTTCAGAGACACCTCCCTAAGCCCTTCATTTGAAGCCTCGAGGGCAGATGCCCCCTTCTGAGGCAGCCCATCCCCTTGTGGACAATTCTTCCGAATCTGGACCAGGAATCCGGCGAACAACTCCTGACCTCCCTGGGCTCATCCTGAATTGGATGGAGTTAGGCAGTCTGAGGACTTGCTGTGAACAGGACCTCAGCTGGCCTAAGTCTGCAGCCAAGAGGTCAGGGCTCGCCTCTGCCCAGGGCTGAGGGCCGGTTAACACCTTGTAGAGCCTGGTCAGCATCCCTGAGGCAGCCCTGACATTGGCTGCAGGTTGCTCTTGTCCTCCAGGGATGACCTTGGCACTCAGACAACACTCAGGAAATGACAACTGACCCTCAAATGATACAAGGGTTAGGGACACCACGACCCCGCAACCCACTTACAGAAGAAAATCTGCATATAACTTTGACTTCCCAAAAACTTAACTAATAGCCTCCTGTTGACCAGAAGCCTAATGATAACACCAACAGTCAGCATATTTTGCATATTATATACATTATATACTGACTTCTCGCAGTAAAAAAGCTGGAGGAAAATTGTTTTGAAAATAATTTTAAAAAGTGAAAATATATTCACAATTCATTAACTGGAAGTGAATCATCACATAAGTGTTCACCTTCATTGTCCTCACACTGTGTAGGCTAAGGAGGAGGAAGAGGGAGGATTGGTCTTGCTGTCTCAGGGGTGGCAGAGGCGGAAGAGGTGGCGGGGTGGTGAGAGGGATGGGCACACTCAGTGTAACTTTTATGGAAAAACATCCTCAAATAAGTGGAACTGCTCGGTTCAAACTTATGTTGCTTAAGGTGAACTGTAATTCCCCTGGACATGAAACTGGCTTTGGCTGAGGAGGTGAAGATGGGGCTTGATCTCCATCCCTTCTCCAACAGACCCTTCAGACCGCTCCATCGGGGAGGCTCTGTCCTGCCCACTCCTTCCTGGAGCCTCTTAGGACCCTGCTCTGCTGGAGTCCCTGTGTAACTGTGTAACTCCCCACTCCCTCCCATACCACCCATGGGGAAGTTGGGGTGACAACAGGACAGACAGCCAGACAGAGGACAGAGGTCATACAAAATGATCAGGAAGAACATAGGCCCTGCCACAGCTCGGCCAACATGACACGGAGAAGGAGCTTCTCCCTGAAGCCTTCACCTGAGGACAACAGAGCCCAGAGCCACCTGACCTCCCTCCACTGTCGGTGACCAGCACTGACCAAGGGTGGGTTAGGACCCGCACCAGAGAATCTGGACAGTGAGAAGAAACTACTCGGAGGCAGTTCTTCTGGGAACAGTCTGATCAGGACTGGAGCCAAATTTTATTCGGACTCCTTCCAACTTATATACCATTTTCTATACCCTCCAGCAGTGTGATAATCACTCACTGGGGGTGTACAAGTTCCGTGCTTTACAAACTATGCATCACAAGACCACCACGAGATCTGCAATTTCCAAGCAAACAATTCGAATTCCATGATGCCTGCCGTGCTTACATTAAGGTCACAGGTGCACAATTTCAATACAAATCATTCAAAGTGTTTTCCATAATGTTCAATGAATCATTCATATTATACTCTTTGCTCTATACCCTGATTAATACAAAAAACTTTCCTGAGTTAGCTCTAGGTTCAATCCAAGTTCACTGATTCCCAATATTTTTAACAATTAATATTACCAACTTAACACTATACTATAATATATAAGTTTAGTTAAATGACTTAACTGTCAGTTATACTATTATCCTATTACGATTTAACGTAATGCCTTATAACTCAGTTAAAACTTATTCTTAAACTACAAAACTTTACTATAATTCATATGTTTCATATGTCTAAACTTTAATTTCTAGTTATTGGACTTTAATACCATGCTATATCCTATTAAGCTAATACCTTATCGTTAATTCTTTTATAAATCGTATAGTAACTATTACACTTGAATAATGTAGCAAAAGGAAACAAAACAGTAAGCATAAATTTATGCAACTATGAGTGTATATGTATATATTTTATCCTAACAAGTCTACTCTAAAAATCAAATAGTAGCTGTCACACTCTTGAACAAGGAAATGCAGGGTTGCCAAGATGGCGGCCATGGGCTGAAGCAGACAGAGTTTCAGTAATTAACGAAACAAAAGAAAACGTTCTACCTGGCTAGGGGCAGGGCGACAAAACTATCATGGTAATTTAGTTTCTAATCTTAGCCCTAGGGGAAACAGCTTTCCGGAACAAGAGCTGACTACCCAATCTACCAGGAAATAGAAGTTAAAAAATATCTAGAAAGAAGTAAAACTTAGAAAGACAGAGAAATAATTCTGCTATGCACTTTCCATCAGGTGTATTGAGATTTACTTATAAGCTTTACTGCCATGTATGCATACTGGTCACTAATCACACGCCAATATTATAGGTATAACTGATATCCTATGTCAGAGGCGATCTTCCAGATGGGCCTTTACAGGCCTCAGCCATGTAGCTATAGATGTTGGCTCCCAACACTCCGCCACAGTCCTCTCTTCCCAGGACATCAGGGTATCTCCCCCTACACACCTAGGAACTACAGCTCCTCCTGAGTCCCCAAGGCCTGGGTCCGTGTCCCTGGGTCAGAGGCCAGACTGGTGACACTGGAGACAGAGGGTTGGTCCCTCCGAGGCATCATTCAGCGAGCTCCCTCTAACCCCCAGTGTCGTCTCTGTCACCTTCCTGCTAGATATCATCCCACCTTTACAGAACATTGGAGAACTTGGGGAAACCCAGGGCTCAGCTGGGTTTCTGTGTCACAGAGGGAAATAATCACCCTGGTTTGATGACCCCAAGTACTCTCTGTATAGTGCAGACAGAAGGCCAGGATACAGCAGAGGTCAGCACTGGGGAGGGCGAATCTTTCTCCTAGGGGACAGGGGTTCATCAGCCTTTCTTTTCAAAACTTTTTCTGGGGAACCAAACATAGAAAGGGACAGGGAAGAGGGACAAAGGAGGCAGGAATGAGAAGGAGGGGAAAGAGAAGACTCCTGAGCACAGACCCACCCCTGGCCCATGTGACCCAGCAAAGTGCTTCTGCCCCTGGGAGGAGGCTCAGCACAGAGGGAGGAAGGACAGCAGAACTGACCCGTAGTGCAGCCCTGCTTGGGAGCGTTTCTGGAGCTGAAGTTCTCCACTGAGGAGGACAGAGCAGGCAGCTGAGATCATGGTGCCCCCCTCAAACCCTCACCACAGAGGGTGCATCCCCTGGCAGGAGCTCCTGCTCACAGGTGAGAGGGGAGGATTTCCTGGGAGTGGGTGGGAGGAGGGAGCATAGAGACTGCTGGGGTCTCCTGGGGAGGACGGGGCTCCGAGATGGGACAGGGGGCTTCTGCTGGAGCCTCAGGGGAGAGGACACCAAAGAGAAAGGGGAGATCACAACAGGAATATCTCAGCATACTAGAATTGGGTAAGTGATAGGAAAATCTCAAGTGTTCTGCCTTCCTGGTTAATCATCGCTAGCCACTACTTTTTGAAAATTGATAATAATAACAATAACAGTTCCTGAGTGGTACTTCAAATAAAAACATAACCAGGACATTAAATACTGTCCTCACTCACCTCAGAAACTGGTAAATAAACACCAGGATGTAGAGGCCCATGAGGGTCCTGGGAACTCCCATAATTCATCTACAGATACCTGCAGCCTATTCCAGGCACTGGGGTCCAACCAAGATCAGACAAGGAGTTTGGGCATTTAGTACAGGACACTACACAGGGAAGACAAACTTCACAAGATCAGAATACCTTTGCCCCATCCAAACCCTGCAGACATTCGATGTAGAGGAAGGACAATCTTACGGGGAAACTCAGCAGGGGGACACCAGTCTCAGACTTCGCCCCATGGAACCCTCCTTCTGAACCACTCACGGAGCTAGGTTCTCATGCGGAGGAAGACAGACCCACAAAAAACCTAGAATGTGAGGTCAGGTGTTGACAGGAGCCATGGAGGGGAAAGAGCAGTGAAAGGTCAAAGAGAGAAGACCCAGGGCCTCTAGAGGGGGTGGTCAAGGAAGGGGTCTCCCAAGGATGACCCTGATTGAAGCAGAACCTGAGGTCAGTGGAGGGTGAGCCCAGCAGACACCTGGGGGTGAGTATTCCAAACAGGGAAGATGAAGAGGGCAGAGCTGCGGAAGGAATGGGGGTCGTGCTGCTGACCTTGGACCAGTAGCCCAGTAGGACACACACATACATATATACAGACACACACACACACACACACACACACACACACACACACACGCACACACACCCCAAGGCTGAGGCGTGAAGAGACCTGCTCAGGACCCAGGCCCCAGCTTTCCATCCCAATACACAGGTCCCAATAGTGACCGATTCACTCTCCTCCTTCCTAGTCTCACTTTTAACCTTCTGGAACCCACCCACCACTGCCCAACTCGCTGTGGAATCCATGCCATCCAATGTTGCAGAGGGGAAGGATGTTCTTCTACTTGCCCACAACCTGCCACAAGATCATATTGGCTACAAGTGGTTCAAAGGGAGAACACTGGATGGGAACCATCGAATTGCAACATATGTGATAGACAGTAAAGCACAAACCCCAGGGCCTGCGTATAGCGGTCGAGAGACAATATACCACAACGGATCCCTGCTTTTCCGGAACGTCGCAGAGCAGGACACAGGATCTTACACTCTAGAAATTTTAAAGAAAAATCTTGACAATGAACAAGGAACTGGCCAGTTCCACGTACAACGTGAGTGATTCCTGACGACCTCTGGGTGTTGAGGGGTTAGTTCTTCTTCACACACACGGGACTGCCAGACCTGGGCCATGCCTGCGTTGCCCTCTGCATTATGTCCCATGGTGGAGTTTGGGTATTTAGTGCAGGACACGCACAGGGGAGACAAACTTCAACAGATCTGAATTGCTTTCCCCCACCCAGACCCTACAGACATTCACTGCATAGGAAGGACACTTTGTTGTGAAACAGCAGTGGAAGACCAGACTCAGTCTTAGCCCTATGGAACCCTCCTCCGGAACATGACCCTGAGAAAGACCCCTTAGGACTCAGTCAGGGCCTGGCATGAGAGACCCCTGGGGTCCTCACAGAGAAGCTCAGCTCTGGAAGCCCCTGCCCATACTCTTGTTCCAGGCTCTTACCGGTGGCCTGACTGCAGGTGGGGAGCCTGCGGCCAGGGTTGCGTTTTGGCCTCTGGGCAGTGATGACTGGAGCAACAATTTACCAGCTGTCCGAGGGCTGTGGCTCATGGAGCTGGTCACCAGCCAGGGCTCAGCCCCCAGAGCCTCATCAGAGCAAGGACAGAGCCTCGTCCTTTTTTTTTTTAAGTTGGAGTCTCTCTCACTCTGTCACCCAGACTGGAGTGCAGTGGCCGCTCCCAGCCACCGCAGCCTCGACCTGCTGGGCTCCGGCAATCCTTCCACCTCAGCCTTCCAAGTAGCCGGGATTACAGGCATGCGCTACCATGCCCGGCTGATTTTTTTTATTTATTGTAGAGATGAGGTCTTGCTGCCCAGGTGGGTCTCGAACCCGCGGGCTCAGGCAATCCACTCAGCCTCCCAAAGGTGCGGGATTAGAGGCTGAGCCACCGAGCCCAGCTGAGCCTCGTCCTTTAACTGAGACTCAGCATGGAAAGGATGGATGGAGACGCTCCCCAGCTCTTCAGCCAACTAAATGGGGAACTTAAGAGATGTCCTAGGGAGGACAGTATCCCCAGGGGTAGGGACGGAGGAGAGAGGATGCTCCTGGTAGCTCCTCATTCACCAGAAATCAGGTCCAAATTGCTCTTTCTTGAAGGAAAATAATAAGAGATACTGTTTATTGGACAGCACCTCTACACAGAACTTAGTTCAGACACTTAAGATTATTTTGAGGTTAAATCACAGACAGGAAGGCAATCCAGAGATCATTTACCCTTTATCAGATTATATTAATATAATAAAATATAATATATTAATATAATATAATTAATATTTTATTCAAAGAAAACTGGGGCACAAGGTAAAACAGTCTCTGATTTAGGGTCACACAGACCATGACTGGTAGATCAGAATCACCAGATTTCTGTCTAGAGCCTCAGAGCTCCCTTCCTAGACATCCACCCAGAAACTGGAGATTCTGGTCTGGAGAGTCAAGAACAAATGGGAAATTAATTATTTTTATTTAGAACTAAATCACCTATCTCAACTATCAGAGTCAATGCTGGGAATGACCAGGCCCCCTCCCTCATACCCACCTCATCACTGAAGCTGAAATCATTTGTTTTCTGACATGTTGGTGTCTCTCCCATGGGAGGATAAAGCAAAGGACTTTGTTTCCTCTCTCCCCACTCACACCCTGCAGCAGCACAGGACCTAGCATGAGAAACACTCTCGGCAATTCTCTATGGACGGAGGGAGGGAATGAATGAATGAATGAATGATCTATAACCTCTCCACAGACTGGTGCATAATCCTAGGAGGTTTTGATCACACCTGTTCCCTAATGAGGATCTTTTGACACTCTACTCCTAAAGACACCCCAGGAACCATGTCTCTTGTGACTCTGGGCCTCCTTGACTGTGGGAGGGCTTTAAGGGCTCTTTGTTTCTGGTTCTGGGGCAGCCAGGGGACTCCTGGTTCCTGGAATCTCTGAAGTCACTGTCACCTTCACTGCTTGCTGCCATGGGTATTTCTCCCTCTCTCCATTCCTCTGTGTCCCTCATCTTCCTCCCCTTCATTCAAGTCTGGGCTGCCCTCTGCCCTGCACAGCACCCTCCACTTTCAAACATTCCCAGAAACTCCAGTTAACAAGGGCTGACTGTCCTGTTCCCTCCTGCTGACTCTGTGGGCAGACCCACCTTCCAGGCAGTAGTAAAGACACAGAAATTGGGGGGAGCAGCTACCTCTGCCAGGCTCCATCACAAGCCAATGTCCGCAGGTCAACAGGAGAACAGGCTTCCACTGTGTCCTCACCCAGGGCTCTTTCCCTTGGTGAGGCTGACACCTGGAACAGGCCACAGGACAGGAATAGGTGACTCCATCTACTCGCTACACTGTCTCACCAGAGGGTCAGAGGCAGAAGGACAGGTGTGCAGTTCCAGAGTCCATGACCTCATTACACCCATTTGACTCAAGACTCCATCTTTATCCCACTGTGGGACTCCCAGTTTCCTGGACCTTCCCCGGGTGGAGCTGGCCAGGCCAGTGCTGTTAGATGGGTTTACTGTCTGTTATAATTGTGTCCTCATGATGATGCCATTGTTATAAGATGGGGTCCCTCAGATGGGGAGCCGTACCAGCCACTATCGTCTCACTTAGACTCTGCCCAATTTGGACAACTTTCATCACATTTCTGTTGTGTTTCCTGAGGTCGAGAGAGAAGGAAGAAAACATTTTGCATGGCTGTGTTGGGCCTACCCCCATTTAGTCAGACTCATCACAGAAATAAGGGACAGAGAGCGCTGCTAAATTTACTAGTATGACACACGCCACTTCTCATTTGGTATCATTCCTGCCTTTTGTAATTAGACACCTCAGACTTCCAGCCAGCTGCTGCCTGTCATTTACTTTTCCTAAGCTTTTCTTGGACTGTCTGCTGTGTTTTTCTGGTAGTCACTAGCTCATGTTAGTTACTGTTGAACATATGGGCAGAACTGCCCCACCTGGAGGTTTTGCAGGTCTGCCAGGTGGTCAGCAGGTCAGAAGGACCAGGAGAGCCTCTGAGTTGGGGGTGGGGCTCTGACTCCTGGTCCTATGTCTGTCCATGACCCAACGCTGCTGCTCACTTCACACTTGAAAGAGTCTATGCTTCTCCCAGACACACCAGACAGGCCTCATAGTCTCTGAGCCCTCAGATCAACACGCATCTGTCTTGTGACAAATACATCTGCCTTGTTGTTTTAAGGACAGTTTGGCTGATATGTGAGAGACGCCAACTCTGATTAAATACGCCTTTGGAGGAATCAAAGTTACCACCCAGGACAATCTTCTCTCTGTTATCTTCACAGTGGAGTTACCTAAACCCACCATCACAAGCAACAATTCCAGCCCCTTGGAAGACAAGGACTCTGTAGTCTTAACCTGTGAACCTGAGACTCAGGACACAACCTATCTGTGGAGGATAAATGGTCAGAGCCTCCAGGTCAGTCCCGGGCTGCAGCTGTCCAAGGACAACAGGACCCTCACTTTATTCAGTGTCACAAGGAATGACCCAGGACCCTATGAGTGTGAAACCCAGAACCCAGTGAGTGCCAGACGCAGTGACCCATTCACCCTGAATGTCCTCTGTGAGTATCTCCTGCTCCTCTGTGGCCCTGGCTGCCAGCCCAAATCCACACGACAGAAGCCAAGACACTCAGTCCCTCTCAGGTCCTAGTATACAGACTGTCATCCCTCGACACCCAGGCTGGCCATGGCTTCCTGTCCTAAGCAGACCCAGGCAGACCCAGTCCTGACCAAGAATAGGAGAGGGGGTATTCCAGTCCTGAGAGGCTCGGGGTCCACAGCCTGTAATAGGAGACACAGGTGAATGTCTCAGACTCAGGTCCAGTGGATACAGGGATTGTGGTTGGGACTTTAGGGTTGGTACACAGTTCAGAGGGATACAGGGGGTGCTGCTACAGACCAGGAGCATCCCCTTCCCTCTGATGACATCACGTGTGGTTTTATTCTCTTTTCTCCAGATGGCCCCAATACTCCCACCATTTCTCCCCCAGACTCCCATTACCATTCAGGGGCAAACCTCAGGCTCACCTGCTACACCGTCTCTAACCCACCAGCACAGTATTCTTGGCTGATTGATGGGAAGCTCAAGCAATCCACACAAGAGCTCTTTATCTCCAAAATCACTAAGAAGAATAGCGGATCCTATACCTGTTTAGTTCGTAACTCGGCCACTGGCCACAATAGGACCACAGTTATGATGATCACAGTCTCTGGTAAGTGGATCCCTGGGACACTGACATCATATTTTTGGGGTGGAATTTGTCTGGTTTTCAGAGAAGAACCAAGAAGAAATATTCTTTCTGAGCCTGTGTCCCACAGGCACTAGCAAATCCAAATCCTTCCCCTGAGCCCTCCCATCCGTCTCTGCAGACTCTCTCATCTGCTTGCTCCTCTGATTTCTCATGGCTGACCTGGGTTCAGCCTGGAATGTGGGAAGGGGTTTCCCTCACTTCGGAGAGCACCATGTTGTGGGAGAGGATTGAGAGAAAGGGAGAAAAACAGGTCCTCAAGGTCAAGCTGCTTCTCTGTGTCATTAACAAGTCCCTTTGTGTCATCTAACTGTTTTCTTTTACCTCCTCCATAAGCTACAAAGACTATACAAGGCTTTGAAAAAGCTGGAGGTTTGAACCAACATAGAGCCCACCAGGAGAGTGGCTAGCGCCTCAGAGTCTACTGCAATCTAAGCAAAGGAATGTCCAGGAGGGGCTTATTGCTTAACATTCACACACTGCTAGCAGCAGTTGCAGGAGCAAAAGAAGCCAGCATGGCAATTGGTACAAACCAAAGCTTAACAAAGTTCTAAGTACAAACACTGCTTAAAACATTGTATAACTATGCAATCAGTTACTACCTGGCACCCGACATGTGCCTAGTTCTACAGGGTCTGAGGTAGGATTTAAAATACTAAGAATTTATAAAATATAGTGAACGTGAGTTGGGAATATATAAAATGCAATGAACGCTTCTTTTACAGCAAGTATAGTTTTTTTGAATCTCTTGGGTCTCTCAGAAACCACTCATACCCATGTTCCCCAAGTGAGAGGAGAAAAGAAACCCCCTCAGATGAGGGATGAGCAGCTCCCTGCTCTGCTCTACGGTTCAGTGGCTTACGTATGTTCACGTTGTTGTGCCCGCATCACCCCCACCCATCCACAGAACTCTTTTCGTTCTCCCAAACTGGAACTCTATCCCCATCAAACTCCTGGGCTGGACTGCCCTACATTGTGGACCACAGCCTGACCCCTGAACCAACCTCTAGGCTTGCTCCTGGTCTCCCTGTCATCATCATTAACTCCCCTCTTCAGGATGTCCTTAAAAAGCAATGCCTCAGAGAAAACACGCTTTGGCTGGATAGTGTATGCCTGCAAAGCTGGAAGGGACTTAGCACCCACATGTCCCGAGATGAGCCAGGTGGTCAGCTGGTCAGGGAAGGACCAGGGGCTCTGAGTCCTGGTCCTGTGTCTGTCCATGTCCCAACACCGCTGCTCAAGACACACTTGAGAAAGTCTGTGCTTTTCCCAATCACACCCGGCAGTCCTCACGTTCTCTGAGACCTAAGATTGTCTTGCATCTGTCTTGGGACACACACTTCTGCTGTGGTCTTTTAAGGACTCAGACTGGCAGAGCTGAGAGATGCCAACTCTGATTAAAAATGGCTTTGGAGGAATCAAAGGTACCAGCCAGGGTAATTTTCTCTCTGTTATCTACACAGTGGAGCTACCTGAACCCTCCATCACAAGTAGCAACTCCAACCCCGTAGAGGATAAGGACTCTGTAACCTTAACCTGTGAACCTGAGACTCAGGACACAACCTACCTGTGGTGGATAAATGGCCAGAGCCTCCCGGTCAGTTCCAGGCTAAAGCTGTCCAAGGACAACAGGACCCTCACTTTACTCAGTGTCACAAGGATTGACTCAGGATCCTATGAGTGTGAAATGCAGAACCCAGACAATGCCAGACGCAGTGACCCGGTCACCCTGAATATCCTCTGTGAGTATCTCTTGTTCCTCTGTGGTCCCAGCTGCCAGCAAAAATCCACACAGCAGAGGCCAGGCCACTCAGTCCCTCTCGGACACAGACCCTCACCCCTGGACACCCCGAATGGCCATGACTTCCTGCCCCAAGAAAACCCAGGCAGACCTGGGCTTGACTAACTATAGGTTGGGGAGGGGCTGTGATGGGAGAAACAGGTGAATGTCTCAGACTCATACTCAGTGGATACAGGGGTTATGGGCGGGGCTTTATAAAACGAAGTTGTGACTCAGCTGAGAGGGACACTGTGGCCCTTCCATAGACCAGGAGCTTGCCTTTCTCTCAAGTGACATCACCTGTGGTTTTATTCTTTTTGCTCCAGATGGCCCAGACACCCCCACCATTTATCCCCCAGACTCTTCTTACAGTTCAGGGACAGATCTCAGGCTCTCCTGCTATGCAGCCTCTAACCCACCTGCACAGTATTCTTGGCATATTGATGGGATGCCCCAGCAGTTCACACATGAGCTCTTTATCTTCAGCATCACTACAAAAAATAGTGGGACCTATACCTGCCTCGCCCATAACTCAGCCACTGGCTATGAAAGGACCACAGACCGGAAAATCACAGTCTCTGGTAAGTGAATCCTGGAGCATTGGTGTCACATTTGGGGTGGAATTTGTCTGATTTTCAGAGAAGAGCCAGGAAGAAATGTTCTTTCCAAGTCTGTGTCCCATGGGCATCAGCAATTCCAAATCCTCCCCAACCCCTTCCACTCTGTCTTTGCAGACTCTCTCCTCCCCTTCTCTGATTTCTCATGGCTGACCTTGGATCCAGCCTGGAATGTGGGGAGGGGATTCCCTCACTCTAGAGCCCCATGTAGTGGGAGGGGCTTCATCGCCCAGGAGGAAAAAAGAGTCCTCAAGATCCAGTTACTTCTCTGTGTCATTAACACGTTCCTTTCTGTCCCTTCTTTGTTTTCTATTACTTACCAAGTAAGTACAAGGAAAATACCCAGATCTGAAATGAGCTCACTCTGTTTTTCCTGACATGGTGGTAGGAAACCCCCTCAGATGAGGGATGAGCAGCTCAGCCACCAGTTACCAGCTCACCTGGTGACTGGCTCCACCGACTTCATCAGTGTGGGACTGGGGTGCATTGAGAAGGTGTTGAGTGGCCTGTCCTGAATCTGGTTAAATTAAGCTGCCAGTCAACACCAGCGCTTCCCCTGTGTTAGGCTACAGGGAACTGGGAAGAGAGTGAGCCTCAGGGTATACTCTTGAGCTATATCCTGGTTCTAAGTCAGCAGCTGTAAGAGGTTGTGGACACAGTACATGGGATCCAGCACAGAGGACAGCGAGTGATGCCTACTTGGAGAGATAGGGAGATCACCCTCGGCATCTCTGCTTGGGAGGGGAGAGGCAGTGACAGAAAGTATGTATTTATAGAGAGGATAAGAATACCACCCATGACTGGGTGTGGTGGCTCAACCTGTAATCCCAGCTCTTTGGGAAGTCTAGGCAAGAGGATTACCTGAGTCCAGGGTTTTGAGACCAGCCTGGGTAACTTGGTGAGACCTCGTCTCTACAATAAATCACAAAAACTAGCCAGGCATGGTGGGATGTGTCTGCAATTCCAGCTACTTGGAAGACTGAGGCGGAAGGAAGACCTAAGCCCAGCAAGTCGAGGCTGTGGTGCTGTGAGTGTGCCACTGCACTCCAGTATAGGTGACAAGAGTGAGACTCCAACTCAAAAAAAAAGAATACCACCCATATATACATATATATGCACACATACAGAGATATATTTGGTTAAATACACATAATATATAATTTGTCATCTTCACCATTTTTATGTGTACAGTTCAGTGGTATTAAATATATTTATACTGTTGTCTAACCATTACCACTATCCATTTCCAGAACTTTTTCTTGTACCACACTAAACATCTGTACCCACTCAACAATAATTTTTCACTTCTTCTCTCCTTAGTTCCCACTATTCTACTTTCTGTCTCTATGTAGTCAGTGATTCTAAGTACCTCATATAAGTGGAATCATACAGTATGTGTCCTTTTGTGCCTGACAAACTTAGTATAATATCTTCAAGGTTCAATCATGTTGTAGCATTTTTTCTTTTTGAGTCAGGGTCTCACTCTGTCACCCAGGCTGGAGTGCAGTGCTACGATCACAGCTCACCGCAGCCTCAACCTCCTGGGCTTAGGCAATCTTTCAGTCTCAGCCTCCTGAGTAATTGGGTCTACAGGCACTTGCCAATTTTCTGATTTTTTTTTTTTTGTAGAGATGATAATTAGTTATGTTGCCCAGCCTGCCTCAAAATCCTGAGCTCAAGCAATCTTCCTGCCTCGGCCTCCTAAAGTGCAGGGACTACAGGTGTGAGGCACCGCATGTGGCTCATGTTGTAGCATGTATCGGAATTTTATTTCTTGTTAAATCTGAATAATATTCCATTGTATGGCTATATTTCATTTTGCCTATCTACTTATCTTTCTATGGACTTTTTTCTTCTTCTGCAAAAAGTGTTACTGGAATTTTGATAGGCATTGTATAGCACATAGTAAGTACTCCATAACAGCACATAACATTAGCATTAATCATCAGCCAGAGTTGACTGATGAGATGGCTGCAACAGAAATAAGTTATATATTTATATAGTTATAGTCTTATGGCGAGAGGAAGAGGCATTACATAAAAACCTCCCTGGGGTATGGTTACTGACTAAATGTGGAAGAGGAGAAAAGAGGGAGTCACTTGTGAAGCCTCAAGCCTGATATGTCAGCTTTCATTCACTGAGACACAGCCAGATGGGCTTAGACATGCAAGATATTCATGGGGGAAAGGCCTGTGAGGGAAAGTGGGGTAGGAGTGGAAGGAGCCTGGGAGAGCCTCAGACCACGATGCAGGCCTGATGCCTGTGAAGGAGAAAGAGAAGGAAGGAAGCTTTATGCAGGGCAGTTCCTAGAGAGTTACTGTAAGGGTGATAGGGAATTCTCTAGCCAGCTGCCCATCAGAGGAAAAGAGAGTCTAGCAGAACTGGGCTTGCTTTCATACCCCCGCTGGGAGCCCTAGGAAGCAGGGTCTCTGCAAAGGAGGTGGTAAATTCTGAATCCCTTCTGTCAAATGAGTCCCTGCCATAGAGACCTAAGAGACTCATACTCATGGCTGCCACAAAGAAGACACTGAGAAAAAGATGGAACCACAAAAAGGTAGAAAATTCTGATAAAACACACAAATAGAAATCAGCCTTTCTTGTATTTCAAAGCCTTCAAAAAAATCTGAGTGCAGAAAGACCAGGTTGGAATTGAGGGAAGACTGATCACCAACCTAGAAACACAGTGACAGAAAAAAAAAAATTTGCCGGGATATAGTTGGCTCATCAGCTCCCAGCAATCTTCCCAGGCACACACAAGTGTATGAATGTATTCCTTGAAGGGACAATTAGCGACTACTTCATGCTGAGAGTTGTCTCCCAGGGCTCTCCCAATGTAAAATAATTTCACCTTTATTACTTCTTTTTTCTTTTCATGACAGAAGCTTCAGGACAAGGACGTTCTCCTGGCCTCTTAGCTGGGGTTATTGTTGGCATCGTGGTTAGAGTCCTGGCCGGGATGCCTCTGATATAGCAGCCCTGCTGTATTCAGCATTTCAGGAAGACTGGCAGGTATGACGGCCTTTCCTCTTGTTCTGTTTCCTCCAAGTCTACCTGCCATGCTTGGGCGAGGGAAAGAACTTCTCCACCTGTTTTTGGGCCTGGATCTCCTCCTCCTCCTCCCTACCTCCTGTTTCTCGGCACTAATTCCTGTGGTTCTCTTCACCCCTGTTATTCAAGCTCCCTCTACCTCTCTGTCCCTTGCACATGGTTCTCCCCCGGCCTCAACTCATTTGTTTCCCAGATTTAATGCATCCTCAGAGACTCCAGACCCTTTTTTAAGCATCTCTCACTTGTGTCGTTGTCTCCAATCCTTAAATGTGACTAACCCAGTCCTCAACAAGTGCTCAAATTACTGCTTGACTACTTGTCTCCGGTCTCTCTGAAACCTTGCTTGTACACTTCTGCCTCAGTATCTTCCTAAAACCCAGTTCAGTCTCCTACTCAGGAATCTACAGTGGCCTACTCTGACCTGTTAGATAAGTTCAAATTTCTCCTCTTTACTAATCATTTTCTTTTTTTTTTTTTTTACCACTGCTCCCTGGTATAATTCCACTGTCCTAATAAGATCTGTCTTCCTACACATCCCTGCCTCTGCACCTCGTACACATAGAATTCTTAGTTCCAGGGCTGTGCCTATAAACACATCAAACAGGATGATCTCCTCTTCACCATCTGCTCAGCAGTTACCCACACCCTTCATCACAAGCAACTTCTGACTTTGTGGAGTCTGTAGTGTTAACCTGTCAACCTAAGTACTCAGGACACAACCTACATGTGGTTGAGAATCTTTTCCTGATGACCAATTTCTGTATTCATAAAAGATACAGAAAAGAGGAAGACAAGGTCTCCACCCAGGGAGCATAAAGCCTAAGACAGGAGATAAGACATGAAATTAATCACAAGTACCATAATAGAAAGGGATACATGCCACAGGAAATCAGAGAAGTCTAACAGGAAATATGGCTACACATTGGAATCACTGAGAAATTGTTTAAAAGAACAACTGAAGCTCAGGCCCCACCCACAAATTCTTATTTAAATGATCTGGAGTGGGACCCAGGCATTGGTAATTTTAAAGTTTTCCCGGATGCTACTAATGTGTATCCAGGATGGAAAAATCCTGCTCTAAGGCAGAACTTGAACTTAACTCAATAGTTTTTAGTTAGGAGTAGGCATCAGAATGGCCTAGGGAACTTTTTCAGGAAACACAAGCCTATACTTTGTTGCCCTTATTTATTAGTAGGCCCCACAATGAACCCAGTAATCCAGTTAAGAAATAGAAGTGAGGTCGGGCACAGTAGCTCAAGCCTGCAGTCCCAGGCACTTTGAGAGGCCAAGTTGAGGGTATTGCCTGAGCCCACAGGTTGGAGAACAACCTGGGTGACATGGCAAGACCTCATCTCTACAATAAATCAAAAAATTAGCCAAGCATGGTACAGCATGCCTGTAGTTTCGGCTACTTGGAAGGCTGAGATGGAAGGATTGCCTGAGCCAAGCAGGTCAACGCTGGGGTGGCCGTGAGCATGCCACTGCATCCAGCCTGGACAACCGAGTGAGACTCCAATTGAAAAAACAAATAAAACAAAGAAATAGGAGTCAAATTGAAAAGCTACTTTAACAAGTTAAATTATATGGGAAGCATTGTCAAATAGCAAGTGATGCTAAAACTTCTCTAAGCTATATTTATGGGTATGTCATTGACATAGGTGTTCCAAAAGTTGTATGAGATTATACTATATCATCAGTTTTAATGTCATTTACCACATAAATAACCAAATTTCCTTGTCGGTTGTGTCATCATCAAAACACACTCTCACTCTCATTTTAAATCTCAGTCATTCAGAGACAGTTGCTTTGATTCGTCTTTTATCTAAAAGCATTTGCAATCAGCTATGGACCAAAACTGCTTTTTCTTTTTCTTTTTTTCTTTTTCTTTTTAATTTTTATTATAAAGATGTGGGGTA